ACTGGATTCAAGCAACTACTTGTTACAACTCCTTATTTATTTTATTTTCCTTATTTGTTTTTTTTTCTTTTGTTACCTTTAGATAATTATCATATATTTAAATGTACATATATTTGTATCTACACATTGTGTCTAATTATTGTTACTATGATCACACAAACAATTATCAATATATTAACGTTATATATACACAATATTTCTCTAATATAATGTAGTATGTAAATAACCAATATAATGTTTTGTCTTTTATTCTGGTGACGCTCACTGCAGTACCAGAATATGTATAAATGTATACCTTAATAAATATTGATGATGATGATGATGATGAGTATGAAATGAGCACAAAATAGTGTTACCGTCCGGTTCGCTGTATGGGGAGATCCTGACGAACCTGTTGACCTTTATTTTTTTTACTCGTTGATTCATTCGTAATCATATACACTTCCAATATCTAATAGGGCTAAGTCATCTAAATTACTTGCGTTACTCCTACCCAAATCTCCCTAGTTGCTAACTGTCACTAAGAACCAGCATGCACTGCAAATTATTCTTCATTGAAAAATGATATATGCATGCGCCAGGAACTTCTGTTCGAACAAACCTTGCCTGCCATCACGGTCGGCGATTTTAAAAAGGTGGAAACAACAGCACGGAATTTTTCATTACCTATTCTGTGACAAAACTGAATTTTAGTATTTTAAATTGAGATAACTAAATAAGGTGACGGCGAAATTTTCATCCGCCCCGGGCAGATGACACCCACGCTATGCCACTGCCAACATATCGAAATTTTGGAGCGTTTTGTTCACCGCACCAACTGCTTTACCTAATTTCTAAGCGGAGTAATTCGGAGAAAAAGCCAACACGCTAGAGTCTCCATATTAATAAGACAAGAAAGAAAGAAAAAAAGACAGACGTGTGAGATAGCGTGTGGTGACGACGGCTGTAGACACGTCTGGGATATATTAGCAGACGGTGTATCATTGGCAGTATAATCCTTTTGAGGTGGAGATAAGCATTTTTTTTCTATTTGATATTTTCTTTGATTATTGATTATTGTGATTTTCAATTATTCAATTATTCAACTAACTGTTGGGGAAATTAACCCATTATTGTTTTTTATTTCAAAACTAGCTGCAAGGACCCGCTTTGCTGGGTTTTTATTTGTTCGTACATTTGTATGTAATATAGTTTTTTATACATATATAAAGACTATTTTTATAAGTAAACTAGAATCTAGCTGCAAGGACCCGCTTCGCTGGGTTTATTAAAAAGTAACGATAGTGAAGATTAAGATAATTACATTTTAGCCAATTTTACCCGTTTTCACAGAATGCAAGAATTAGATCCCCCGTTTCCAGACTAATTAGAGACCTGGTCCCGATTCTATTTCTGGACGTTTCCTGTTCACGTCAAGTCAAACGAACTATTTTCAACGTTTCTGGAACGTTTACGATCGTTCTATAATCGAACCAATATTCGAATTTTATGTTCGAATTAAATTCGAACAAAACATTCGAAATAGAAAGCAACATTCAACCACTTTGAGCCTCATATCTCCCACACCCTTATAGCTATCGAGACGCAAACCCCCTGGTGCATGAATGGAATGGAGACTTGGGGCTACTACCACATACAAACACCATTCACGTGCGATGTGTAGTTTTGGTGGAAAAGTGAAATATAGGGACATAGATGTCCATATATATATATATTTAAAATACTTAAATAAATTTAAGTTTTTATTATATATATAATAAAAACTTAAATTTATCGTAAATTATTATATGTGGTTTTGGAAATTTTTGTTTTTTATTTGGTAATTCCTGGCTTGGTACTTGAACCGTAATATTGTGTAACCCCTTTTTGTTTTTCGTAAACTCTGCGTTACAATTTAACCGCATCTAATCTTAGGTTTAGTTATATGTATCGTAGGTTTAGTTATATAATAAATTCTTGTTGTTGTCTGTGAATCAAAAACCTGTCTCCTGTCACTCCGAAACACGGACATCTGTTGAACTGTTTACTCCCTCGCCATCCGATAAAAAGCTCTTCGAAACGAATACGTGAGCGGTCTTTGCAGAATGTTGCCTATTAAGAGTTCAATAGGGAGTGACTCTGTGGCCCTCGGCTTCTCACAAAAGTGTTTGCCATTAAATATGTCTCTAAATGTTTTTTGTTTTTGTTATTTTGTAATTATAAGCTTTCAATAACCAAACTTTTTGTATATCGTTCTTGATAACATAAAACAATTTTTCTTCAAAATTTTACTTTTACAGAAATTTTCAAGTGTAAGTAAAACCATTATGAAAATAAAACTATTATATTAAACTATTTTTATTTGATTTTATAAAGATATTAGCGATAAACTTGGTATTATTTTAAATCAATAGCGAAATAAATGCAATTTATTTCGAATTTTACATAAAAAAAATTTTAAAACGTGGTTTCTATTGGTAATTGAAAAAATTAAAAATGTTTTTGCTGTGTTAGTGAATAAATTTAAAAATACTTAGCTGTTAAATATTTTTGAATTCTATATTACTCTTTTTTACAATTAGGGAACTTTTCAAGACGTAACATATTGAAAATTTCATAATTTGATTTTAAAATGCGCATAATGCAATAATCATAAACACATAGAAAATATTATAATATTTATGCAAAAAAAGATTGCTTTCAATTTTTACTGAATTTAGAAAAAAAAACGTTTTGAAAAACAGTTCTTTCCTAAAATGAGTTTTATAGAGGAGAAGGTGGTATTATGGAACCCCAATTACATTTTAGTGAATTGTAAACAAGGTATCATAACTACACCCACATTTTTTGTGCGAAAAGTACTGGTAACTAGTAATCTAAATGTTCCTAATTGGATTTTTCGCTAGTGTAATTATAAGTATGGTTTTTGAAGGCTTTTGTACAAAAAGTCCGAAAGTAGGCTTAGAGAAAATCGGGTGGTAATATGGAACCTTACTGTATATTTTCAAAAAAATGCTTTAATGTAGCCAAAAACAAATAGGAAAGGACAAAAAATGTTAAATAATTACAAAATTATTTACTCCAATGTATTTTATCGCAAAAATGCTTTTATAATAGAAAAATATGACCTCCATCAACAATATATATTCCAGCAGCTCTTTTTCGATATTCTCGGGAAGAATTGGCTTTCTACCTAGTGTCTTTTTCACAAATTGCTCTGGAGGAATGTCTGCTTGCAAATAGAAAGTTCGGAGGAGTTGAGTTCCATATTACTGTAAAAGCACCAATGGGGTCCGTATTTCACGCATCGCCATCTCGAATTAACTTATGTCTGTCGAGACCAAAATTTAAAAAACGTGAACATCACACAGATTAATATGTACCCCTAAGTCTCTGGAACGGAATACATGCACCAGTGAACCTACAACTACACGATTTATATTTTAAAAATAATTAAATTCACTTAGCATTCAAAACTTGCGAATTTTGAAAAAAACAAATTTGCTGATTAAATACGGACAACCGTTTAACTGAAGTAAAATGGGTTTTTCCCTTGCTATGGATGTCTCCCTAGTTCAGTTTAGCCACATTCCGCTACAGTTAGCCTTTATTATCAGTTCGAAATGGGGTGGTTCCATAATACCCGCAGTGTTCCATAATACCACCTTCTCCTCTATAATATAAACTTCAAAATTCTGGCTCTGCCATTGAATGTTTCATCAATATCAATATATATAATAAAGGTAAGTGTACAATGTGCGTGCCGATAAAACTCAAAAACAAGTCCCGGTACGGTCAAAGGAGTTATATGGTGTGGTAGCTCTTATCTCCCATCTATGAAGCAGGTTCCCGTTTTTACCTGAAGGGCGGGCTGTTGAACATATAAGGGCTGGAAATTTCTCTTCTAGAAATTTCTAGTCCAGAACATTCGAGAGTATTCGAGAACATTCCACAACATTCCAAAGTGTTCGGGAACATCCCGGAACATCCCAGATCATTGTGGAACATTACAGAACACTCTCGAATGTTCTCGAACGTTGTGGAATATTGAGGACCATTCGAAGCTTTTTTATATGGGTGGGACTACCCACTGGTAAGTTTATATACAGCAAAATCCTTCGTGGGTCCAAACGTCAGGTTGATATCAGTGACGAAGGGAAGAACCGAAAAAGAAGTGAAAATTCCAAAGTAGTGCAGCTCGTGAATAAAAACAAACGGTGAAGTGTGAGTAGTCAAAGTGATACAGAGACTAAATATAAATCGAAAACAAAGTGTGAAAACTGTGTAAAGTGTACTTAGTGTATTTGGTAATAAAAGGTTGATTTGATTTATATTTTTTACAATGCCCAAACTTAAAAGATGAGGAGCTCTTGCCAGTTCTGAATTTTCTTTTGAATATTATTTTTAGTTGCCAAAATTGCCCCTTGAAATAGTCTCTCCAAATAATAATAATAAGCGCAGAGCCCAAACGGTTAGGAATTGAAGGTAATTTGGTAGACAGTTAAGATACGTCATGAGAACGTACACTAAGAAGAAATTTTTCGAAATTCTTTGTCGCGGGGAAGTGTTAACAATGTAAGTGTTAACAATGGAAGTGATTAAGTAACAATTGAAGTGTTAACAGAAAGCGACGTGCAATATTTCCAGGCATAGATGCGGTTTTTTCCGTTTTTGCGAGAAATCGAACATATTTTTAAATCCATCTAAAAATTTTCTAATTAGTCTGGAAACAGACCAACCTAATTCTTCCATTCTGAGAAAACGGGTAAGATTGGCTATAATGTAATTATCTTAATCTTCGCTATCGTTACATTTTGCCCGAGCAACGCCGGGCTCAACTGCTAGTATTAATATAAATACATTAATTATATTACTAAATCTATTTGTCAATACGAATAGTTTTATGGTATGATCAGAAATTAACACAAGAAGTTAAGAACTAAGTCTAAAGTTGAAACCAACATAATTGTTTAATAAATAATTCTTACCTCACCGTTGTCGCCAATTCAATCGCCAATTCAATCGCCGTTGTTTGTATCAAAGATAATAGATGGAGAATCATCAATTATTTCATCATCATTGAGAAGTGCAGTCTCTAAGTCAATGCTATTTTTAGCAATATCCTGATTTGATATTTTTCCTGTAAACATTTTCAAATTTTCCATTTCGTTGTAATTCCCAATTAATTCACATCTTCCCTGAAACAATAATATATATATATAATTGCTTCTCTCTCATTGATACATAAAAACATGAAATATGAATAAATAAATATATCATATCCAAAAATTATTTGTATATGCAGTACCTATGTTTATTAAATTTACTGACAGAAAATCGTTTGTCAACTTTTTCAAAAAAGATGGAGCTATTTCTTCACCAATTGATTATAGGCCCAGGCATATTAATTTATTAAAGTTTTATAATAAATGTTAATATTTTCAATGGCAGTACTCCACAAGTTTACAAAAAGAGAAAGAGAGGGAGTTATAAAGGACAAATATAAAAGGGTCAATGTACGGTAGAACAACTGTAATGATGTGCACAAGTACAACTTTTCCAAAAGTGTAAACGTACGTATCCCTGAATATCCAACATAAAAATTTACATTAGAGGTTTTGTTAACAGCAACAAATCTGTGGAAGACGATGAAAAAGGCTAAACCACTGAAAAATGCTCTGTAGTCAATTCAACATGATTTAACAAGAGCTGAAAAAGAATAAATTAAAACAATGAAAACATTAAGCACTAAAACACATTCATAAAAATAGTGTTATATGTTAAGAAAATTATATTGCTGGTTATAAATGTTAAATAAATTTTTTATTAAGATTCGTTACTTGTATATACTTTTTTATATTATGTAAGCGGAAAATGATGACACATTAAACAAACAACAAAAGAAAGCATAACTAATTGTGTTGGTGTTATTTATTGTGATAAGCAATAGTTTTTACATTAACATTTTTTGCTAATAAACTTCTGCTTTTGTTTACGAAGGCAGCCTGAGTGACAAGACATATTTTAGGCGGAATCATTTTTGTTGTTCTTTATTTTTAAAAACTAGCTGTTACCTGTGACTTTGCCCGCGAGAATTTTGCAATCAAACCCCATTTATATTCAGTATTTTAACAACCGTAGTAATTGTTATATAACACCTACCGCTGAGAATGATGAGAATTGCCGAGAATAAAACGAACTATATTTAATTTGGTCAATTTTCTGGAACGTTTACAATCGTTCTATAATCGAACCAATATGCAATAACAAATTAGAATTTAAAACGGTTCGAACATTTTAAAAATCGAAATAGATAATGATATTTAAAACAATGTCTGAAATGTTATTAATTTAATACACCTAAGTACTGGATGAAGACTAAATCTTCCGGTTAAGCCTTAATGCTCTCCCTCTCCCTCGCGGGGGAATTTCAAAAATTCCTTCTTAATGTGCATTCTCATGGAATACCCTACTAAAACGCAGATAAGAACAAAAACTCGCATCTAAAATAATAGAGTAGTAGCCTTTATTTCGGTTAAGCCTTAATGCTCTCCCTGTCCCCCCCGCGGAGAAATTTCGAAAAATCCTCTCTTATTGTGCGTTTTCATAACGTACCCTAACTGTGTACCAAATTTCACCTCTTTAGGTTCATTGGTTTGCTCTGGGCGAAGATGAATGAGTGAGTGAGTCATTCAGTCAGTCAGGACAAGCAATTTTATATATATAGTTAAATAGAAATCAATTAAAGTAAACAATCAATATATTCACCTTGTTTAACAGTAAAATTTTACTCGAAGAGTTTAAATATTGTATTTGATGTGTAACCAGAACGCAAATCTTGTCTTTTAAATATTCCGTTATACATCTATAATAAACGAAATGTTAAAATATATAAAAAATTTATCTAATACTACTTTTATATATTTACTTTTCGAATATATGTTTTTTCGCCACTGGAACGTCAACAGCACTTAATGGATCGTCAAGGAGGAAAATATCCGCATCTATATACAGGGCTCTAGAAAACAGAAAAACACATCATTCTGATTAAATAAATTTATAAGGAAACGTTTCGCGAGCACAGGAACAAACCTTCATTTATTTTTATATATTTTTAGTTTTTTCGAATATTTTGTTTTATCTTATAGTAGCTTTTATTCTATATGATGTAAATAGTTCAGAAATTTGGAAAATTTATCGTTTTACATAAAAACAGAAAATGGGCTATCTTGTAATATATTATAATTTTCAATGTGGAATTTTAAGAGTAGAAAGAAAAAATTAGGCGTTAGGAAATAAAGCATCTCAGAAAATGTAAGATTACAAAAGACCAGTAACCAATTTAAAGCGATGTACAGTTGTCCCTTGAGAGTCCGACGTTTTGTAATCCAACATGCTCAGTAGTACCACGCACCTCCCATTAAGGTCATTGTAGTCTCCTGTCCCAGTTAGGTATCTGCTTGCACAGAAGCATGTGGCTTCATGAATCTCCCAACCCAATTCTTACACAATGACACACATTTCTAGTGTTTTCCGTGAGCAATTTTGTTCGAACAGTTGGAGTAGGGAATATTGTAGGCTACTGCAAGCAAAACAGGGTCAAATATGTAATCACTTCGGTTATCCGGACATTTTTGTTAATTTGACACGCGCCTTTGGTCTCATACCTATCGGATTATCAGGGACAACTGTAATCTGATACGCTAAAAAGTTGTAATTTCTTTATTTTCGCACATTAACTTTTTTTTAATTTATGAATTATTACAATTCGCTGTTCTGTACAATACACATGAGTGCAACAGGAAAATAATTAACAATTCAGACTCATTCACTCTGAAAGTAAATAAAGTAATATAAATGTTTTAAGAACGTTTGTTGTCAATATCTAAGAATTAAATTAAGAATAGAGTGATAGAAAGCGTCGTGTATCATGACAGTGGTAACACTTTATGAAAATTTTATTTGTTATTACCATTTTCACTCTTTTATAAAATTATCACCGCTACCGTGAAATTAAGCTTTTAGCGAATTTATGGTAAGTAAATATAAAAAAATTTAAAAGAAAATCTGATCAGAGATGGTGACACATAAGATTTTATTTTTTGCATGATAATAGTTTTTTTAATTAAAATTTATAACAGTCAGAAAAGTTATGCATCTTTCGTTTCTAGGTTTTTTGAATAATATTTGTTGTCAGTAATTAAAACTTAAATTTAAAAACAATATATTCACATAACTGTAACTTCAAATTTGTAAAATGTTTTGATTAGAGTTAATTTATCTTATTCGCATTAAGATTGAAATCTGTATTTTGCAATCATGGTACAGTAACGTTAGAATACAGCCTAATTTACCTTGCTAAATTAATTCTTGCTTTCTGCCCACCGCTCATTATCACTCCTCTTTCTCCTACAACAGTCAAATCTCCTTTAGGAAATAAGCTTATATCCTAAAACACGTAAAAGTATAAATAAATATAAATTCAAGATAATTATGTTTTACTTAATCTGCATTTACAACTTTATCTTAAGTAAACAGAATTTTTATTGATATTCAGTATTATATTAGATAACTAGCAGGTGGGCCCGGCGTTGCTCGGGCAAAAGTAACGATAACTAAGATAAAGATTATTACGTTACAGTCAACCTTACTCGTTTTCACAGAATGCAAGAATTGGGTCCCCTTAGAGAATTTTTAGATGGGTCTAAAAATATGTTCGATTTCTTGCAAAAACGAAAAAAACTGCATCTGCGTATTGCACGTCGCTTTCTCTTAACAATTCCATTGTTACGTAACATTTTCATTGTTGACACTTCTATTGTTACTTAATCCTATGATCCTTCCTAACAAATTCATGTATGATTCCTGTTAGTCTCAATTTAGCTATCGCTAACATCTGTGCTTTTTTCCAAGCAGCTAGCTTTGCTATATCCGCCAATGATTCGAAAAACCCGCTTATGCATAGATCCTCTGGCTTGCCAGAAAAACTAGGCAGCAAGGGGACTAAACCACTCAGTCCTCCGAGTGTAGCTCTCAAATTTTCGCCTTCCATTCTAACGCTATGATGCTATGTCTAAACTTTGAAAACATGTTTATGGCGGACAAAATTTGCGTTCCGCGGACACTGTCTCAGACGGACAAACCTGTCAAACGCCTAGAAGTTGGCTTCACCTCACCCTGACACCAATGTGAGATAAGCCGTGGGTCAGGGGTTAATCTCCGACTGACCACTTAATCGGCACAGGCTGGTAAAACCCGATCTCGCGGTCTGTTGGATGGCTAGGAAGGTAAATCGAGTGGGAAGTGCGTCGGTAAGTCGGCAGGCGTCCTTAATTGAGAGGAAACAGGTTTAACTACACAAGCATTTATTACAGAACTAACTAAGCAATACAAAAGGTTACAATAGGTCAGCTACATGTAAGAATAAATGTAGTTAACATAAGTACGCTTATGGCAATTATACAATCTATCCTTTTTCTAAAGGGTTTATTCTAACAACTATTCCTATATGTGTAGAGAGAGAGTTCGCTGGTTAAAAATAATTACTTCCAAGTACAATATGTGGCAACAAAAGTTCTTTATGCAAGATTGGTCGATGTCTTCTAACGATGCGGGAGACGTGAAATCACTATGACCCAATATAACCTACGTGAGCGAACTCCCGAACTTCTGGTGGTCTCCCTTTTTATATCCTTGTCGCGAGAGAGCTGACACGTCATCGACTGTTGTTGACCATGATGGTGCATTCTTCACACGTAAGTGTAAACTTTTTCAGCCAGTTGTTATACAATCGGTGAAATCCGATCTAGTTCAAATTCTTAGGGTTTTTTCCGAAGATACTTACAATTAACAGAAAATTTAGATTTTTATGAACCCATAAAAATCCGCGAGCTCACATCTATATAAATGATGACAGGATGAAAGAAGTAAACAGGTTTAGATACCTGGTGCGTGGCTTGACTCTAGGTCAAGAGAATAAAAAAAATCAGGAGTAAAATCGGTGTGGCAAAAAAAGCATTTAGTAAACTGAATACAAATTTGTGTGGGCCTTTGAAATTACAATTAACAGAAAAGGCTATTCAAACGCTATATCTGGAGGTTTGTCCTCTATGGTATTGAAACTTGTATAATTAAAATAATACAATAGAATAAATACCCAAAAGATTTCGCTGTGGAGAAAAATAGAGAAGACCAGATGAAACGATAAGGTGACGTGACAAATACAGTAGACCCCTATAACGCTTAGATACGTTCCACGTTTATCGAATTTTACGTTGTAGGAATGATTAAATACATGAGCCAATCGCAGCCCGATAGGTGGGAACTTTACGGACTAAGGCTGTTCGAAAGGTTTTCTTCTATAAAATTAACCGATTCTAGACTAATTCGACTCAACATTTCCAAAACACGTATAATTTTTTGGGAATAATCTGTATAAACTATGCTATAAACAAAAAATTATAGGATTACTTACCGAGTGTGTACCGTTCGACTACGCCGTTGCTTAAAGCTGGTTTTCATCGCGGAACAGCACATTAAACGGCGGCCGCGATTTCTAATAACGAATTTTTCGCATAAAAATAACTTGACCTTTGGAGACATCATTAATATAAATAATTTTTATGGCCGTTGAATAAGAAGTGTTTCTTTCACAAGAAATGTATAAAATTAGTGCTGTATTAGACTTACGGTACCTAATTTACATACTGTACAGACGATAATAAACTCAACTTACTAGCCTAAAATCTCCGTAGCGTGTTGCCAGGCGGCAGAAAGCATATATATAATTATAATAAAGTTACAATAAATTAAGTTAATATATAATTATATATACAGTACCTAATTTATATATAACTAATATATAATTATATGTACAGTACCTAATTTATATACAATTAATATATAATTATATGTACAGTACCTAATTTATATATAATTTATATATAATACTGTACAGACGACAGCAAACTCAATTTAGCCGCCTAAACAATCCGTAGCGTGGCGCAGGGCGGAGGAAAGTAGTTTGGCTGCTCATCCACTATTGGTCCAGATTCTATCAATCTTGTGGCGACACGAGTCAGCGACGACGTTTTAGGAGTTCCTTTATACGAATATTGCTACAATTTTTTCGCTACGTTATAGGAAATTCCGTTATAGGAACCCACGTTATAGAGGGGTCGACTGTAATAAAGTCCTGACAGGAGGGGGTAAAAAGGCATATTTTAGACAATAAAGAAGAGAAAAGATAATTGCATGGAGCAGATGAGCGATACGAAGAATTACAAATGATTTTATGTAAGGAATCGTTGAAGGTAAAGAGAAACCAGGGAGGAAAAAAATTAAAATGGCGGTTACCTTAGAAGAAGGTAGTTGTAAGGACCTAAAGAAAAGAGCACATGAGATAGTAGGCTCGAAGAAAAATAGTATTCACTGGACTTGCTACAACTAGCAGAAAACTAAAAATGAAGATTGAATTGCAATAATATTTTGCACTGATAATGTAGTTATGTTTTTGACATTTGCTGAAAACCAAACTGAAATATAAAATTGAAAAATATTATTTACACTTTGTAATAATCTTAATTGAAATGTTGTCAACATTCTGAGAAGAAACTCATTGAACATTTATTCTGATACATTAATTAAATATATAAGGAGTAATTTGTGTTTTATTTGTATTTGTGGTAAAAGTTTTTTTTTCTTTTCAATCGATGTAAATAATCTAAAGTTTCGGTGAAAACAAGTAAAACCACTTTCTTACCTTTTCTAGAGCCGTTATATGCAAAATTTTTCTATATTTCTCGTCTTCATATTTTTCTTCGAACAAGATATTTTCTTTGATTGTTGCGTTAAATACCCAAGGTTCTTGAGAAGCGTAAGCGATCTTTCCTTTCACCGACGCTTTACCGAAAGTAATTGGAATCTCTCCCAACATCGACATTAACAAAGACGTCTAAGTAAATTAATAAATTGTTTTACTAATTGATTTGAAATTCACTGCATTTATAATGTAGTTACAAAAACAACTGCAAAGCTTTTATATCAAAATGTTTATCTTATTAATTACTTTTAAATAACATGTATGCGCAAAGAAAAGTACGTCACACACCATTATTTCATTACCGAAAATGGTAATTAGTTCTGTGACAATGTGGATTTTCAGGAATGCATTTTTTTTATCGATGTTATAAATAAATTAATAAATAATAATACTAACATCAATACATTTAACATAATCATTAATTTAAATACGTAGTAGATACATATTGTATACTGTGGGGTATGCGATATATGATTTTTTATATTGAATTGCTTTTTTATTGAATTCTCATATTCATCTTTATGTTGGGTATAAAAATTCAATATGAGAAAGAAATGTGCAATATAAAATTCATAGTTTGTAATTTATCCCCTTCTGCACACAATACGTATCTTCTACGTATTTAGTGATTAAGTTATACAGCTCTCCCTTGATAGTCCGACGATTTTTAATCCGACATGCTCAGTAGTCCAACGCACCTCCTGTCAAGGTACCCGTCCCCGTTACGTGTCTCTTTGCACAGAAGCATGTCGCGACATGAATCTCCCCATCCAATTTTTACACGATGACACACATTTTTTGTGTTTTCTGTGAGCAGTTCCGTTCGAACAGTTCGAGTAGGAAATATGTAAGCTACTGCTAGCAAAACAATGCAAAGTATGTAATTATTTTCGGTAATCCGGACACTTTTGGTAATCCAACACCTCTTTGATCCCATATCTGTCGGACTATCAAGGGAGAGCTGTATTAATTGACGTTAGTATTATTATTTATTTATGTTCCGTCCAATAACCTTTTTTTATGAACCATTGCAAACGAGATTAATTTCGTGTGGATCTAGCGACAATGGAAAAGAGGTCGAAGTCCATAATTCGATGTTAATGCAATTGTCATTTTATTTCATAGTATTTCCGCATTTTGTTTGTTTTTGTATTTCAATTTATCATTATGGAATTAGGTTGGGTTATTTTATATTGATTAAGGTGTATTTGATGTTTTAAGTTTATAGAGATGAATATTTTTCAGGGATCCGGGACTGAATGAAATCTGTTTCCGTCATTTTTAACAGAAAAAAAAATGGATCAAACTTCGACCGGCCTCCTAGACTCAATTAAATTCGAAGTCCGATACACCACTGCTTTCTAAACAATATGAAAATCATACAGCATGTAATTCATTAAAAATGTAAAACTGCAAAAACCAGATATTTACCTTTCCTGATCCAACAGGACCTACAACAATAAAGTGTTCTCCAGTGTTCATGGTGAACGAAATTTTATTCAATGATGGCTCAGACTCCTTTTAAAAGGAAAATTTACTAAAATATATACAATTAACCTTAAACTAAAAATATACTATAAATTAATTTGTGATAATGGCAGTATTATATTATTTAAAAGAGAAGTTTTTAAAAATTTATCAAACTTAAAATCAAACTAGATTATATTGTCTTTATTATTGATGATAAACATAGACTAAAAATCCGTTTTCATAAACTTTTTTAATTATGTTTGTATTTTTACTTTAATATATTCGTTAAATATTCGATGATCATTGACTAGAGACAGTGTTATTTAAAGCTGCCTCGATTCAAGTTAATATAACATGAATTTTAAAAATTTCAAGTTTCATAACATTGATGTTTACTTAAAGGATTACCACAAATTAATATGTGTTAATCGCATGATGAGTAGCATTTGTAGTTTCTGATTGGCCATTGGAGCTGAACTGCAAAAGAATATTTTCGGAACTATATGCAAAATATATAACCATCAAAAATACAATGCTCTCTGACGGTTTTCAATTTTGATTTTTCCACATGATGTTTAGCGTAAAGTACACTTTTGTATCGACACTTTCTTAAAAGCAGCACCACTATTGTTATTTTCTTGTAATTCCATACAATCAGTGTAACAACGTTATAGTAATAAATTCCTAAAAATATCAGTAAGGCAATTTATATTTTTATAAAAATAATGGTAAGAAAGTATGCTTGACACGAATAAAAACACCTGCAAAATTGAATTTTCTAATACCATTTCAACCGTTAAACTTTTTCATTACTTGTAAAATTATTACAATTTGAAATGTTGTTATTTTATTAAAATTGTAACTATGAATTACTTTTTTCCACGCAGCTGTAACATTATCCATCCATATTCCAGATTCGGTTAAATTTGCTCCTTCGTCTACAATTTTCACTGCATTGCTCTCGTTTTCTTCAAGGAGGAGAAAATCCTAAATTAAAATTCGAAAAATGTTAGCCTTTTCAATGAAAGTATCCACACAGTTTTCAGATAGGCGATTAACTCTGCATATACCACAAGGCCTTGCAAGGCCGTTAAATAATTTCAATTTGCAATATTTTTCGATAAGAAATGATGATATATTCAAAAGTTTTAAGAATTTTTCTTATATATTTATAATCTTAAGCTGCAGGGCTGGGTGGCCGATTGTTATGTAGTGCGTTTTTGGTGAGCGATTTGACTGTCTTTTCGGCGTTTATTTGCCTGTGTTCTTGTCAGCTAGCTTTTTTGTAATGCATTGTTTACATTTCCACGGGTAAGCAGAGTTGCACTTTCCCGAGGTCCTGCCTGTAGGGTAAACTTGCCTAATTCGTACCACTTAAGGAAAAACTATCATATTATCGAAATTAATAAACACAAATTATTTTTTATTTTACGTAACTTTTATTTGGGAAATATTTTATCACTACAATAGTAAAATTTAGCATAAATCTTATAAACTTCTGAAAAATAAACAATTTAAAAAAAAACACTAAAAAAGTACGATTTAGGAACATTCGTCTTAAATCGTACTGATATATTCTTAAATCGTACTTTGAGATCCTATCATTGATTTGCAGTCTTAAGAATCTTTATCAATAATGTATTAATACGTGTGTATATTAACTCTTAACAAATTCGGCAAATGGTCTTCGCCAATTTTTGGCAGTCATCGCAGTTGTAATCCGTTGTTTTTTAATGGTTCCTGCGCAAAGTTCATGTACCCGTATCTCATATTGTATGCATTTGATCATACTTTCTTTTACGTCTTCTTGGCATAATTTGCAGTACCAACTGATATTTTCACTTCCCTGTTTTTTTTATTTTCCTTTTGTGATATTTTAGTAGTTTTGCTTTTCTTCGAACCAAGATTCTTTCATACGTTTTTCTTCTTATAATTCCAAGAATACCACGTAGTGGAGAAATTATTTCAAATGTCGCTCGAACTGTCTCTGTATTAGAAATGTTTACTTTCATACCTAAAGAACATTCCTTCGCTTTCTCTTCTAGACATTGATCTCGCTGTTTTTCCGAAGGGTGAGTTGTCGGTACCTCAGGAAGTTGTGGAGAATCAACTTCTTCAGTCTGTTCTTGCTCAGTAGTCTGATTGGATTGTGCCACACACGTTAAAGTATCTGCCTTCTTAAATGAAGTTAAGACTATTTACAAAAATATAAAATTTTTGAGTCTATCTTAATCCTTTTTTTTTTTACACCACCCCATAAGTAACAGTCAACATGGGTTTTTTTCTTTTTGAAGAATATTCTTCTTAAAAACAAAGGTAAATAAACAGTAAAAAACAATTCACAATGTTAAAAACGATCAAGTGTCAGCCTTCTGTTTTAGGATCTGACACTTTACATTAAAAACATGAAGAATTCTTCTCACCACATTGTCCTTATCCATTTTTAACTGCTTCAGGCCCTCTGGTGGTAGTTACGAGTTATCCTTACTTAATTTGCATATGGATACAATTTCTGTAATTACTCAGGATTTTTATATTTCTTCTTAAATGAAGTTAAGACTATTTACAAAAATATAANTTCTTCAAAAAGAAAAAAACCCATGTTGACTGTTACTTCTGGGGTGGTGTAAATAAAGGATTAAGATAGACTCAAAAATTTTATATTTTTGTAAATAGTCTTAACTTCATTTAAGAAGAAATAAAAAAATCCTGAGTAATTACAGAAATTGTATCCATATTAAAGTATCTGTTTGTTCTTGCTGCCTTTCAGTTGCCAGATTCTGGGAGACTTCTGCCGATTCACTTAGATTAGCATCTTCGTCAAGAACAACATATTCCTCATCCCCGATCTTAAAGCGATTGCGAGGCCACAATCCGCAACATTCGAAGCCATGCATTCCTTTGTCCATACAAACGGCTCGAGGATATGCTTTAATAAGGAACCAGGATGCTTTGCATCCACGATGCGCAAGCAGCACTAAAATTCAGTTTTATTGATTTGAAAAATGACCTATCTTTGATGTGTATTCAGTCCTTGTAACTGTCGTCTAAATGTCAATTTCGATACATTATATACACTAAAACTTCGTTAAATTATAAGGTCCCATCATTATATTTTTTAATCGGTTCTTTCATATTTTCTTTACTCGAAGAATTATATTTTCTTTTTGACATGTTGTTCTAAAATTAAAGACGATTAAGCTTTAATTTGTTTTGAACTTTTGCGGTTATTTTTTAAATCAGAAACGTAGAAAAAAAATAACTTTACGAATCGGTAATAGCTTATTGTGACATTCATCTAAAATGGTTTTCCTAAATCGTACCAGTACGTTTTAAGAACATGCCTCGAGTACGAAATAGGCGCAAGAGTCGGACAAATTTTACACTAGTCGCCAAAAAATTTGGCAACAGATACGCATGTTTCATCATTTCAGATGAAATCACAAAAGTACGCACTAATACATCACACATAGTTAAAAAACTTACATACGATCCAATTTGAAGAAATTTCATACGAAATGTGCAAAAATATCACAAAAAAGTTGAAAAAACTTTTTTTTCAATATTTTTGTCGGGAGCAGATTAACAGTGTGTTGTCTGTCAGATGGTAATATGACCGATTGTTATTTACTTCTTTTGCTACTAGAGACACTAATAGTTATTACGGGAGTCAAGATATAAGCGAAGTACGAATTAGGCGCAAGTACGAATTAGGCACGTTTCCCCTAAGTAACCGGCAAGGGTGAAACAAAAGAACTACTGCGTCTTTTAGTAAACATTTAAACAGTCCTCTCAGGACTATGGCCAAAAGTCCAACGTCTCCGAGTCAAAAGATGAGGTGTCTTTTTAAGGAAAAATGGAAGTGATGGAGGAAGACAGGCGAGTGAAGATAGCGGAAAGCATCCGCGAAAATGTGAAAGATTACATGAACGAGAATAACACTCGTAGACTCGGTACAGGTGAAAATGTTACTTTCGTTTGCGGTCAAATAGACTGGATCATTGAACTTCTAAAGCAGAAGCCACCTGATCTGATGCAAGTAGCAGTGGACAGTCTACATGAAAAGATAGATAAAGTACTTAAGACAAGGGGAAACGTCGGACGCTGCTATGCCCAAGTATCAGCACGGAAGGCCTTAAAACCAAGAAAAAAATTTTTCTGGTGGAACCGGAGAAAGAAAATACAGATGCAGAAAAGACCAAAGAGAAGTTAAAGAAACATATCAATCCCAAACAAATGGGAATTGGGATACAAGCCATCCGGAAACTGAAGAGAGGAGGAATAGCGATTGAAATGGGACCACCAGAGGAAAACAAAAAACTCAGGAAAGCAATCAAATCGAAAATAGGGTTGAAGACAAAGGAACCATTTAATAGAAAGCCACGTATAGTTTGCTATGGAGTGGTAACAGATCTCCCCAAAGAAGAAATCTTCGAATTTCTGTACGAACAAAATGAGATACGTAACAGTAAAATAACAGAAACTGAATTCCGTAACCAAACAGAAGTAAGATTCCAATTTGGAAACATGAACAAGCAAACGACTAACTGGGTCATTTAAGTGAGCCCAGAAATAAGAAGACTAATACTGAAAGTAAAGAAAGTTAACCTGGATTGGTTCATGTTTGATATGAATGATCATATCTCCGTTATCCAATGTTTCCAGTGCTGCCAAATTGAACATATCGCAAAATATTGTCAAGAAAAAAGCCCACTTATCGCCAAGGTGGCCAGAGAAATAAGTACAAAGACCGTACTCACAAAGAAAAAGCAGAATGTGTTAATTGTTAGAGGGAAAAACTGAAAAACTTTAATTATAATGCCTGCTCAAAGATCTGTCGACTGATGCAAAGTGTCAGGAAGATGCTGATTGCTAAGACTGATTGTGGGAATTAATCCCAACGAACAAATAGAAAACATATTGCTAAAAATTATACAAGTAAATGTGCAGAGATCAATCAGTGATACATCCGCACTTTGTAGGACACTTGAAAAAGTTGATATGGCTCTAATACGTGAACCATACTATCAAAGAGGAATACCAGCCTGTTTAAGGACAACTTATAGAACATTCTTCAACAGGGACTATCATCCATTTACCGCTGCTATCATCAGAAACCGAGATGTTCTGGTGGTTTTTCATACTGAGGAAAACAACTAATTCCTAATCTGCCTTGAAGTAGGAAACAGCCTCAGTAACTATCTGTTCATATCTGCCTACTGCCCGATAACAAATGATCTAAATCAAGTACTACATTAAGTGGATAAACTGATTAAATGTTTCCCGCATAAGCATATCATTATCTACGAGGACCTAAATGCACATTCAGAGTTGTCGGGTGGCCCGAGTCATGATGAGAAAGCAAACCAAATCCTAGAATTTATAAATGCTAACGGACTATACCTACTGAATCAACTAGACTCTCTACCAACATTTTAAGCTGCAACAAGTCAGAGTTGGATAGACCTAATCATCTGCAACAGCAGCGCACTAACCAAAGTCTCACCGTTTACTTGGCATGTATCACCGCTATGTAGTCTTAACGATCATAGTTATATACTCTTTGAAGCAGGAATCGTCAAAGAGATGATAAGTGAAGATAGTACCCAATTTGCCATAAGCAAAGCGAACTGGCCCTTATTCCAAACCATGATAGAAAGAGTTATGAATATAACCAACCTACAAAATTGCTTTGACAAGATTACATCTGAACAAGTGTTTACTGACTTTAATTAGAGACTTTTAGTGGCCTGCAAAGAACGTATTCAAAGGAAGAGAAAAAATCAAAAAGCAGTGCCTTGGTGGTCAAACGATTTAACAGATATGAGAAGAAGAAATAACAGACTGAAACAAAGGTTTCAAAGGACCAGGAACGACGTTGAAAGAGCAGAGAAAAAAGAGAATATCTTAATAGTAGCAAGGTCTATAAACACATAATAAAAACTAGAAAATTGCAATCATGGCAAGAATTTTGCACTGAGAGCTGTGCGAAGCCATGAAGCTTTATTTAGAAGGCCTGTGTAGGCAAATTAAAAACCCTGACTTTTCTTACTGCCATTCGAGAGAGAAAAACTTATACTGAAAGGGGTCGAGAACACAATACAGAAATGAATGGACACAATCGTCCCTCGGGACGAACCAGAAACAGACACTCTAAAACACAGACAGATAAGAGAAAAAGGCGAGAATGAATACAGAAGCCTGATGGACCAAAAATTTACTAAGGAAGAGATACGAAATGCAGTGTGCAGATTGAAGCCAGGCAAGGCACGGGGCCTTGAGAGAATAGTAATCGAGATAGTATATAAAGTCTCGGAGACAAGCCCAGAATATATGATGTAAGTATACAGCCTGTGCCTTGAATTTAAATTCTTTTCCCGACAATTTGGAAGGAAGCGAAATTGGTCACTATACCGAAAGGGGATGAATTGATCAAAAGTGAAGCGAAAAGCTATAGGCCTATCAGCCTCTTACTAATACTCGGCAAAGATCTAGATTACTTAGTCAAAGGATCAGGACGCACATTACAATGAACAAGTTCTTAAGTGTCAAACAATACGGGTTCCTTCCAAACAAAAGCACAGAGGACATTATCTGCACAGTAGTTAAAGAGATAGAATGGAACTTAACCAAGTACAAGTGTTGCTGCGAAATCAGCCTTAACATCAAAGGGGCCTTTGACCATGAGTGGTAGCCCCTAATTATACAATCTTTACGAGAGGCAGAATGTCCAAAGAACATATATTATGTCGTCAAACACTACCTCCATAATAGGAAAGTCAGCTACTGTACAAACAGTGGAAAGATAACCAGGGACCTTGACAGAGGATGTCCTCAGGGTTAAAACTCGGGACCATTATTTTGGAACTTGGCCTATTAACAATTCTTTAATTAATTAATTAAAATTAAGAATCGATAAAGGGTCAGGCATCTTGTAGATGGCGTATGCCGATGACACTATAATTATCTTTAGTGCATTCTCTCGCAGGGACATAGAACAAACTGGAAATCATGTGTTTGGCGAGATAATTAAGACAGGTGAAAAACTCAAACTCACCTATCTTAACGTTAAAAAGACCAAAGCGATAATCTATACAAAAGGTCGTACTCCAGACCTATACAAGAGATGCCCTATGATAAAGATGGGAAGAGACAATATTAAAGTAGAGAAACAACTCAAATATTTAGGCGTGATACTAGATAACAGATTAAGTTGGCTCCCTCACACTGTATCGACTAGAAACAAATGTATCATCATGTTCAACGCTTTCGCAAGGGTGGCCAAAGCTACATGGGGCCTGAATAGAGAAGCCATAGAAATTATATATAAAGAAGCTTTCACACAAGTTTAACATATGCAGCAGCTGCCTGGCACGTGGCAGCAGAGAAAGAAGTAGTAAGAAAGAAGATATATAGTGCACAAAGATGTGCGCTACTGAGAATTACAAGAGCATTTCGGACCACATTTACTGATGCATTGCTGGTTGTAGCAGGTACTCCACCAATAGACTTACTCTTGAACGAATAAGTCATTGCAGAAGGGGATACAACATACATATAGGCAGGAAATAGTTTGCAAAAGAAGAAATAGACCTGAAGCCCTCCTCAATAACGTTGCCCAACCTGCCTGAACGAAAAGCGATAAAAATAGCTGATAATGAGGAAAGAGGCGAAATTGAGCTGTATACAGATGGCTCACAGGTGTGTGGGTGCAGCCTTTTTGGCAGCACCCACACACCTGTGAGCCATCTGTGAGCCACACATCAGAATGTGTGGGTGCAGCCTTTTTGGCAATGCATGATGGAGAAGAAATTCATGCAAGAAAGTACAGGCTTAAAGACTACTGTACAGTTTACCAAGCGGAACTGTTAGCAATTGAACGTGCTATTGAATGTGTGATTTTTCTTGGGACAGAAGGCCTAGTAATTGTTAACACGGATAGTCGGTCAGCTATCTGTGCTCTCCAACAATTTGTAGACACAAACGTAACAGCTCTGAACATCAAAAACATGATAAACAAAAACGTAATGCATATTAAAGTCAGATAGGTTAAAGCCCATAGCGGTATAGATAGAAATGAACACCTCCTAGCCAAAGAGGCTGCGCACTTAACAGTTGCGACTAATGGGAAAATTTCTCTTTCGAGTATTAAAAAGATTATTACAGACGAGACTAATATGGAATGGGAAGAAAGATGGACCTATTCCAGCAAGGGCAGACACACATTCTGGCTTCTGCCGAGTATTGAGGAACAAATCAAAGACATACATTGGCTTCAAGTCAATTTTATATCAAGTCAACATTATACTGGACACTGTGATAGTGGTGAGTACTTAGAAAGATTTGTCAAAAGGCACACTGCAGTCTGTGATTGTGGGGAGGAAATTCAAGACGTATAACGTATACTTCTGAACTGCTATAGATACGAAAGAGAAAGAATGGACTTAAGACTGCTTCACGAACAAAACACGAGATTCGCAACTCTAGAACTTTATCACCTACTCTGTGACAGAAACCTTGCCAAGGAACTTCAGGCCTTCGCACTAAAACGCACACTAAGAAGGGATTTTTCGAAATTCCCTCCCAGGGAGAGAGAAATGGGATTAAGACTTCGACAATGGAAGTATCAACAATGGAAGTGTTAAGAATGTGAGTGTTAAGTAACAATGAAGTGTTTAAGAGAAAGCGACATGCAAAATTTACAGGCGCAGATGTAGTTTATTTTCGATTTTGCGGGAAATCAAACATTTTTAAACCCATCTAAAAGTTCTCTAATTAGTGCGAAACAGCGGGACCAAATTCTTGTATTCTTTGAAAATGGGTAAGATTGATTATAACGATCGTAATCTTCGCTATCGTTATTTTTGCCCGAGCAACGCCGGGCTTATCTGCTAGTGTTATATAATTTCTTTGTAGTTTGTATAACGTTTCTTTGTATTCAATAAGTTAATTAAATGAATCGTTCTCCTTGTGGTGCTGCAGGCAGAACAAGGATGACTGATCCCCATACGGGGAAATGGATGTTCATTCAATGAAAATAAAATAAAATATCTTAAGTTGCAGTTTACTTTCCCAAGCTGAATTGCGATACCCTTGATTCTGTTTACAAGTGACATTTTAATTTTCTGTTTAATTATGCAATTCTGCTGTAAAAGTTCGTCCGATTGAGAATTATTTCTAATAAAATAAAATTGAAGACAACCAGTGGGCAACTTTTCTAAAAATTTACATTTTCCAGTGCTAATCTTTAGTAGATAAAAGGCAGAAGAAACCCCAAAAGAAGTATGATGGAAGTAAGCAAGACAACTGTATGTCACCAGTACCTTTTTCAGAAATTTTTAAAAATTTTAATTGGATGTGTTTTGTGTTTTTAAAAGGCTTTTTTTAAACTTTCCGGCGACAAGTAGCCTAAAAAGAAAGGTCAGTCGCCAAAAATGTGTTAGTCTTGGAACACAAGTAATAAATGGTGATCCTTTTTGGACAGTTTTGTCTTCAATTTTATTTTATTATGCAATTCTGGTTAGAAAATCGCTCTGTTCGAATAATTTTTTCTGTTTGGACCTGATTTTTGTTTTTTTTCAAATTTTGTTTTAAAATTACTATTTATAATAACAATACGTTTCCTAATAATATATTAACATTTTTCAAGTATTTCTAAATTAATTGTATAGTAATAAAATTTTAAAGCAATATTTTTTGAAACTGTTCATTACCTGAAATCTTTTCAACGAAACCAAAATTTCGGCTACTACATTCAGTGCTAGAGAAAATGTCTTAACAGTTTTACTGTAGATGTGAAAGGAAAATGCCATAGTGACAAATATAATTTCGGCATTTAATTTACCTCCATTTAAAACGAATGTAAGGTATGTGAGGGAAGTAAATAATTTCGATATAGGATATCCCAATATTAATGATATTTCTCTTGTATACAAAAACATTCGAACTTTCTTCATTTCCTTCCTGCAAATATCAAAATGAATTAATAATAATTTTACAACTTGACATAAATTATTTTAAGAAAAGTAATTTAGCGTGACAAAAATACAGTAAAACTGCATACACCGATATCATACAGAATCGTATATTTTTATGATGTGGTAACATTCATTTGAAAGAGGAGTTCTTTTAAATAGAAAAAGATTCATTGTGAAAATTTTTTCCGTTTCGGTGGAATCATATTATTCATTTCGGTGTTTCACAGGTTTTACTGTATTTATATGTAATTACTAAACTTACTCTCTGATTTTCTCTATTAATGCAGCATACGGCAATTCCCAGGTGTACAGTACATCTTAATTAATCTCATATCAGCAATCATCTCGTTCAACAGGTTCAATCTTTCGTCTCCCAATATAGCTGCTTGTAATCTATCATTATTAAATAATGATTCGAACATACATATGCTTTGTTGTAAAAATATATAAAATTAAATGGTAAAGATTTATCAAATATTTAAGGATAATCGGAGACTTTTATTGCAATTTCTGTATTTAGTGTATTTAAAATTTGTAGAATTTTTATAATTCTTACAATTAAAATACAGTTCTATTGATTTAAATTACGAGAGAATTATTTTTTTATTGATATAACAATACGTATTATTTTAATTTTGTTACATTTTCAATATATTTTTGTTGAATTATAATTTCTTTTGAAACAATGAACTCTGACACTATCAGTTATGTAATTACATATTTTGTAATATTGACCAAACAAAATTTTTTATTTGTGTCTGCAGTCCATATTCAGTAAAATGTATATAAATAAATTTGACTACTATAAACAGATAGTACGGTATACATTGCATAATTTATATATCTACATACTCGGTTGTGTTAGTCATGCTATATGTATGCAAAAATTAGACCAAAGAACAAACACACACATACATACACACACATGCACAATATTAGTCGAGTGATGTACGGAAAAGAGATACTGTAAACATCAATCCGAATATTTCTGACTTTGTCATTTAAATTGGACCCTATTCACAATTATTTGCTCTCACTATTTATGAATTAGTTGTCTCGACGTCTTCTTTCTACAAAACAATTGTAGAAACAAGCTGTCACGAAATTATTTTATAAATTGTTAGCCTAAAACTTTACAAGTTTTATGCATCAGACGACAGATCTTTGAAATATAATTTTAACATTATCTGAAAATATTGAGTCCCATTTGATCATAAAATAAAAACAAAATGATAATTAAACTTTATACAGCTGTCCCTTGATAGTCCGACGTTTTGTAATCCGACATGCTTAGTAGACCGACGCACCTCCTGTCAAGATACCTGTCCCCGTTACGTGTCTGCTTGCACAAAAGCATGTCGTGACGTGAATCTCCCCACCTTATTCTTACAGGATGACACACATTTCGTGTGCTTTCCGTGAGCAGTTCTCTTCGAACAGTTGGAGTAGGGAATATTGTAGGCTACAGCTAGCAAAACAATCCCAAATATGTAATCACTTTCGGTAATCCGGACCCTTTGGTCCCATACCTGTCGGATTATCAAGGGACAGCTATAATTCAAATTTTCAATTCTCTGATATTTGAAAAGAGTCGATTTACTATGATACACTCCATATAATAACTATATTTCTGAAGCCATTAAAAAAAGAATTTTTGGCTTTTGAAAAATATTTGATGACAACAAGATCCAAAATTTTAATTGCTAAACAATCCATTAGAAATGTGGTTTCTTAGAGATGTCAGGCAATATTTTAAAAACTCGACTTTTTTTCAATTTTTGAAAATATTGAAATAATCAATGAATTCCCGACTCTCGAAGTTTTCGAAAAATGCAATACATACACTTACATGACGATATTGTAACAAAAAATATTAGATTCTCACAGATGCAGTGCAACCAACCCTGTCGTATAGAATTTGTATGATTTTCGATGTAGCTTTACCTTCACACATATGTCGCACGTAAATTAAAGCAATTCGTAAAATTATCAATAGAGTGAATATATCATTACATTAATAATATTACTCACATTGCTTGGTCTTCCTTAATTAAAGAATACATCAATTATATTTTCATCCCAATAGGTAGTTGCGTTTGCTTTTAACAATGCTAATTTTTATCTTTGTTTTGTGACATTGCTTTCTCCTTATAAAAATATTAAGAAAAATCTAATAAGTTACATCCAATTTTGCAAGGATTAACATTTATGTGTGTAACATAAAAATATCATTCTGTTATCATGCATTACGAGATTATTTAGAAACAGTATTTGAATTGTTTGAGTTGCAAAGCTTGTAACTTGCACATTTGTCAAGATGTAATTTGCCTAATATCCTGTGCTCTACGCATTATCTTTTCCATAGATTCATTTCTCATATTGTAAACATTCCTGTTTAAAGAATAGACTACAAAAAGTAATCTTTTCTCAAATATTTGAGCAATGTGTATTTTGTAATTTACGTATTTAATTTTCGAAAGTGCGCCATTATATGCAGAAATATCTATATATATAACACATTCAGCCGGTATCTGCCCGCGTAACGGTTTGCCAAAAACGGGCACTAGAGGCGCTACTATCGTGTGTCATATTTCAAACATTAAAATCAACAATTTAAATTATTATTATTTATTTGGCCAATAAATTATTATAACGGTATACCCAATATAACAATATAAATAATTCAGTATATTTGTAATAGGAATTTATTATTGTCACGGAATGCCTGTAATGTTCACTAGGCGGCGAATAACGAAAAAACGGATAAGTTTGAACCACTATGATAAGACGATAAGGTTTGAAATACAGTCGACCCCCCTATAACGTGGATTCCTATAAGGGAAATTCCCATAACGGAAATTCCTAATGTAGCGAAAAAATTGTAGCAATATTCGTATAAAGGAACTCCTAAAACGTCGTCGCCGACTCGTGTCGCGACAAGATTGATAGAATCTGGACCAANAGCTAGTATATATATAAAAATGGACGTGTGTGCCCCTATATTTCACTTTTCAGCCAAAACTACACATCGCACATGAATGGTGTTTGTATGTGGTAGTAGCCCCAAGTCTCCGTTCATGCACTATGGGGGTTGCGTCTCGATAGCTATAAGGGTGCGAGAGATATGGGCTCGAAAGTGGATGAAAGTGGAAGATTTTCTATTTCGATTTTTAAAATTTTCGAATTCGAATTTAAATTCGAATTGGTTCGACTATAGAACGATTGTAAACGTTCCAGAAGATTGATCAATTTGAAAATAGTTCGTTTGACTGGAAGTAAAAATTTTCTAATTAGTCTGGAAACGGGAGACCTAATTCTTGCATTCTGTGAAAACGGGTAAGATTGGCTATAATGTAATTATCTTCATCTTCACTATCGTTACTTTTTGCCCACAAATAAAAACCCAGCAAAGCGGGTCCTTGCAGCTAGTTATATATATAATTTCCGCCATCTAGCGCCACGCTAGAAAGAGTTTGGGCTAGTAAGTTGCCATGTTTTAATTTACTTGGTTATTTGAACAAATTGCAAAAATTATTATTGCAATTTAATTTTATAATAATTAAAAAATATATATAAAATTTTGCCTTATCGTTAAAATAAAATTAATTTAACTGAAATTTATAAAAACATTTAATAATTAATACAAGCTTATTGTTACAAGATATTTTATGAAAACTAAAATGATATAAATTGAAATTTTTTTAAAATATTTATTATCTTAATTTATTCCCAAGATTTTTGATCTGAAATTATTATTGCTGATCATTTGATCTGAAATTATTATTATTACAAATTTATTTATAATAATTAGGAAGAATATATTAAACTTTGTCTTACTGTGAAAACAAAATTAATTTATTTTGAATTTATAAAAACATTTAATAATTAATACAACCTTATTGTTAAAATAAAATTAATTAAATTAAGATTTGTGATTGAAAAATTAACTTTGTGATCTGAAATAATTCCATTCAACAAATTTTTATTTGTAATTTTAATTTGTTCGATCGTAATTTACTCAAAAAATTAATTTTGTGACCTTAAATAATTCCATTCGACAATTTTTATTTGCAATTTTAATTTATTCGACATCTGATATTAATTTTGTGATCAAAGTTGCCCAATACACTACTACTAAAAGTAAATACTCTTATCACTCAATTTGATTCTGATTTTCGTAATGAAAAGTCCTGCGAGAATGCTCTTTCCAATTATATCGATGAGAGTGGAATTCTGTCTTCTCTTAAAGGAATTATAGATTGAAGTGTTTTTTCGACTAAAGCCTGGAAGATTTCTAGATCGTTTTCGAGATTGTACTACTTCTTTTCCTCTCTAGTATTCTCGATTTGTCTACCTAAGCTGCTTTAATAGAAGCATCAAGCTTATAGCCCGATAATTCGGCAGTTTCGCTTGTGTTTAATAATCGAGTTTATAAAGGAAAACTTCATACTTGCAAACTTCGTACTCGTTTGTATCCTTGCCCAATTTGCACAACCTGGCGTTATGCAGTGATTGAAGCTACTCGGCATGGTTAAAACTTAAGACAGCATAAAAACAGTTATTCCAGATATTACAGGTTCCAACAAGTAAAGATTTTTCAGTCTTGCCACAAATAAGCCACATATTCATTATTAACCATTTGTGACGTGCCATAACGTGCAAAATGTTAAAAAACGAATAAGTAGGGTTAAAATTAATAAATACAAATGTTTTCTGACAATTTTTGATTTAATTATACTTTCTATTTGCAAAATTTCCTCAACCTTAACACACACACACAAAAAAAGTGAACTTTTAAGAAATTTGTGGGTTTCTCAGAATGAGAAGAATTTTCCGGGAAACATCCCGGGAAATTCTTCTCATTCTGGGAAAACAACTGGAATCCCGGGATCCCCTTTGAGAAACCCTAATCAAAACAAAGAGAGAAAGAAAGCAGCTGACAAAAAAATAATTTATCCTATTGACTTTGCTTTATTTAAAACCTAATATTCAACTCATTATTGGAATTGAGCAGCAATAGCACTAATATTAAATTTTGTATTATTTCTCAGTTTATTGCAATTTCATCATCAATAATCATAAAAGTCTAATGAGGTTTTCTGACAATGATTGTATTATTTTGTAAGTGATATTTCAATACAGGTATACCTCGCCTTACGTCGGTAATTGGTTCCAGGAAAACGACTTAAGTCGAAAAACGACGTAAGTCGAATTTACTTGTTTCCGAATGTACTGTACTTGTCACTAGGCTAAACCATAAATTACTACTCTCAGTTCTGTATTTTATTTATTAATGCATTTTTAATAATACATGGTTAATAAGAATCTATTTTAAGCTTACAAACAAACAAATTTTAGTTTTTAATAGAGTACAGAAAAAAGTAATCTAAATTTA